ATAGTTATCCTAAAGTTCGCTGTAAAGACGGCCGGATTGAACTAAATTCACCAATCTATACTACATGTGGATTTTATATTTTTATGTGTGGAAAAACATTTAAACATTGAACTTATATCGATAATATACCATAATAATATTATCGCTATCTTATCCGTTTTCGATAAAATCATTGTCAACTGTCGACGAATCGGGAAAATTAATACTTAATTAATAATTTGTCRGCAAACTAGACTGTCGCGGAAAGGGAATATTTTAAAACTGGTATATTTGTCGGCAAACTGAGTTGTCGGCGAATTGGGGTTCGGCAAAGTGGGTATGAACCGCATAAGCATACATACCTAAAATTGATCAAGGTTGCAGTTTGAATGACTTAAATTTTTCTGCACCTTGTAAAAATAACTTTTTTTAATTGTATTTTTATTGGGCATTATGGCCATGTACTATTAAGGTATTAATGTACTTATTATTCAAATGAAATATATTATGTGTGACTAAAGATTTCAGTATTTTTTTTTTGCATACAATGTTTTTAAGTATAAAGGTGTCTATGAATATTAAAATTAAAAAAGTAAGTAATTAACTAGTAAGTAAAAWCTAAAAATCATAAATAAAAAGTACCAATTTAGTATTATTATAGATATACAATATTCATAATTCATAAACATAAGAAATAATACATATACCTATTAGGTTATTAGATGGAAAATATAATGATTTTAATTTATGAGCATAGTGAGAAAACAATTTTATGTTATAAATTTAGTACAAAATTCATGGACTGTTGAAAATTATTTTTGCCTGCCTAGTTTTACCATGWACGTTTCAAAAAGTTTTATGACACCCCAYACCCCCCTCTCTTTCATAACTAAAAGGCTTGCAGCATAGAGACTTAAACTTATATTTATTACTCTACATCTGAGGTGTTTATAATTGTATCTATTATATATTTATTGTTTCTAACACCGTATAATATTTATCATATTATCATTTTTCATTGAATATTTAATTACATTTTAGTATTTACAAGTTGTAAATTACAACTGATCAACTGATTTGACCATAACATTGTTGTCCATAATTCATAAATCAAATTTACATTAATAAATCAGAAGAAATTCTTATTGAATTATTAAATAAAACATAAACATATGAAGATTTTTGTAGTTATGTTTGCTAATGAATTTTTTATGCTTATGYAGTTTTTTAATGTACTAAAAATATAATTGAATGAAGGTTGTAGGTAATGGTTTTAGTAGTGAAGATCTCTCAACTTCCAAAACACAGATTATGTTTAATACTACGTAGTATATCATCAAATCCTTGTCCCTCATACGAAACTTTATTGTATCTTCACCACTGTTTTATAAATAATAATACTTAATAAAGATAATAATTGTACAAAAACAAATTCTCTCCGAATACGAGTGGTGGCGGGAAGAAGATAACGCGAAAATGTCACGACGTGGTGATGCCGCCGTTCGCAGTGGACGCGTCACACAGCCACACAGGAGATAAGTCAAATATTGGCGCTACGGGAATAGACTACGATGGACGAATACAATAATATGGAATATAATGTCTGATATACCGATATTGTATACAAATATTACGCAATCGTTGTTTTATACGTCGAGCCCGGACTGGCACGACATTATTATTATTAGGTATTTCTCAATAACATTATTATACTATTATACAAATGTATCGCTTTTTGTGGCTATCGTGGCGGAGGCACGTATCACGCAGATACGCGCGCCCGACTGTTTCCGTCCTCGGCGCGGCTCGCAGTCCGCACACCGAACGACCGAACTAGCGAACACTCAACAGGCGCACCAAACAGTCGCATCTCGCGCGTCACGACCGATCGACACGAAGTGTGCGCGGCCAAAGTTTATACTGTTTCGTCGTAATATTTATGTTCGTTTTCGTTTACCGACGACGACTGCTTCGTGTAATATTACCATAATCGTCCCGTCACATCGAAACATTCGAAACGCACGAGATGGGCCGATCGGGCCGTCCGCTGGCGTGGCTGCCGATGCTGCTACTGCTGGTGCCGGCCGCGGACTTTGCCGACGAACAGTGTCCGATGAACGTTTCCAGACCGGCGCCCGAAAATGCCTATCAGGTGAACGACGTACTGTGGGCCGGGAAACCGGAACAAGCGTATCCCCAGGCAGCGTACCGTCCGGTCCCGGGAGGCGGTTACGTCCTGTGCACGTGCGAAACTGGAGCGTGCATCCGCAAGTGCTGCGTGCCAAACTCGGTGTACGTGGAATCGAGATGTTCGCCATTCAACGGATCGCTCGACCAGTTCAAGGTAGGGGCACGGTAACCGGTTAAGGCCTTAATAATATTGTTATGTGAGACAACCGAATGAGATTTCTAATTATTTTGCCATCCGAAAATTTGTTGGTTGTTGTTGTCTTGTTCGTGTTGTTTTTTACGCTCGAGTTATTTATATAGTAAATAATATTTTCCGTAAAACATCTGTTGTTGTCCCATCCGTATAATATCCTAAACGGCTAAACAGTGAACGCAGCGAGTTTACACTAAACACGATTCATGATTCCATAGTTTACAATTTCATATGTTTGTTGATCCCGGTGCTAATATTAAAGATGGCTCTATATGTATAACAGCGTATGTATCTTCGGTATCGGTGTGTAAATATAAAATGGTTAGTCCCGTTAGATATTTTGTCGAACGAATTGAGATGGGTTCTGAACCAAAACTGAAATACCTACTGAATGATCCAACTCTCCAACTAGCCGACACTAGCACTGTCCGTCTACTAAAGAGTGCACATCTCTTGCTAAACCAACGGATTGCTATAAAAATATAATATTTAGAACGTTCTATTTGTACGTGACTTAAATTTTCAAAACCGAAATTCATTACTTCCGAATAAGTTCAAACGATCGAATGATCCTCGGCGAAGTAGTGTAGCCGTTTAGGAAGTTCCAACAGAAAGTCGAAKGGCYATCGAACAAGCGGGMAAACCCGTTATTAGTCCGGTTTTGTTGTAAGAGAACAACAATACTGCTCTAGCGCAGCGCTGTCGATGTCTGTGGATATTATTTTTTTGTAACATATTTAAACATAATAATATTAAAATATATAGAAGTATTAATTATTGATGATATTAGACTGCCCTTCCCCTTCGCCACCGTTCGAATATAAACAAAACCAGTTTTGTCTCGGCATTCTACGTTTTGCTCATTCGATTATTTGCGTGTTTTTCCAGTCATATTTCATCCAATATTTATATAATTTGATTATAWTGTATATTATTATTAACGTGATGTAGCCCACCATCGGCACCAACTAAAATATCACGAAAATCCATTCGTTTTGTAAATGTGGGAATCTCCAACAAAATAACGATACGTACAATACGTCATGTTCATTGAGACTAATTTTATAAATATATATTATAATCCGGCCGGTCTGCGGTCAAAATTGTTGCATTTCGTCTGTTCGATAAAAATTGGATTAAACCATATTTTGAAACCAATATGTTGTGGAGATATTAGTTATCGCATTTTCGTGCAAACCATTAGCGATAATAGGAATAATAACAAATCGTCATAACTATGCGTAATACCTAATCTCTTTTGACATTTTTGTTGAAGATTTTACGTAGGTGTGAAACCACATATATATTATATGTATATATATATATTAAAGTCCAACGGTTTATATAACGAATACCTACTTAACATTATTTAATTTGCGAAATCTTAAAGTTATGTGTTTACAAGTATATTATAGTGTAAATGCACTGTACAATTTCTAAAAAATTTTAACCACTGACCTATAACGGGCTATATTGTACTGTGTACTGTATGACGTATGTCTGTATGGAAGGTTTGTAACGACATTGTCCCACATTAATATTTAATATGTGTTTTTCCTTTTTTTCATAATATCTATCTTGATAATATTTTACGCGTCAACACGCTGATATTTATAATAAACAACATCGTTTTAGCTCAGAAATGTATCCAAATGCCTACTAATTGTCAATTGATATAGCTGATTAAAAAATATATTGCATAACAATTTCATATCAAATCCAGTTTTAGAGACTATGAACAACGAATTAATATTAAAACTAAATACTCAATAATTGCGTATCATTTTGTCCTTGGTTTATTTGTATTTTCTAGAAAACATAATAAAAACAAATACTGAAATACCTTAATTAGGTGCAAACATTATATTATATATCTACATGTATTAATACACATGAATAATGATTATCAGTTATCACTAATAAAAAGACAAGGTTTATCAAAACATAAATTTTGGTCAGAATAGTTTTCGAATTACTTTTTCATCAAAGATATCTTGATTGTATGTGCATTATAATAGTAAACACATTTTGGAGGATCATCGCCCCAATAGTGTGTATAATTCTTCAATGCGTAGAATTAATAAACATTTAATTGTGTACCATAGTTTTGTTTATGATACATTTATACCTACCTTTGGCATAAACATGAAACATAATTATATAATTATACACAATAGTCATAACTCATAATTTATAAGTATAGTCTGAACTCTGAAGTAACAATATATATGCAAATTTAGTTTTTTTAATAGTTACGACTAGCTATATATGGGTGATAAGCAAAATGTGTTGCATGAGATTAACAAATATKSATTTTTAAATTATTTATGAGAAATAGCTAGATAGTTTAACGTWGTTAAAATAGAGAATGGACGTGCTGAACCGATGAATAATRTTTAATAATATAGAAAATTTAAATGAATCATAAAGATCAACTAATCCATGTGTAAAATTAGTTTTACTAAATTGTTTGCGTACCTAATTATAGTAATTAAATATCTTTATATTCATTCACAACATTTTTTTTTCACGATTAATTGAACATTACGTAATCTTATTCAAAACTTAAACATTGATTAATATATTCATCAAACTAAATATTTAATTTATTTAAAATTACAAGTATAAATTATTGCTCACTACAAAATAGATTTTTGATAATCTAAACATAATAGAAAATAAAAACAATTTATTATTAGCTATCACCTTCAAAAGGTCCAAAAAATTAATTTTGTTAAATGTTTAAAAATGTATAATGTATTAATGTTTTTAGTTGATATGTGATAAAGATATCATTTAACATTATATTTACCATATCTTGACATTTTATAATCTATGTGTAATATACATATAGTATATTATACAATAATGTAGGCAAAAACTAAAGAATATACCTAGGTGCTTATAATATTATAATATAAAGTATAATAATAATAATKTATGTAAAACATAACAATAATATAAAAACATCTAGGTATACCTAACGCCTATTTTAATGCCACGTCTTGCCATTGTTCTCTACTTCTCTAGGTATATTATCATTTATTGTATCTTCCTAGTTCTCTATACTTGGACTACTGACTACTCATATGTTGTATCTAACTCAGGTCCAGATTCCAGATGTATACGGCCACGATTCCATGATCATTACAATAAAAGGGTTTTATTTCTATAGCTAGCATCTAGTTTCAGGTACAAATAAGTTATTTTTAGTCATTTTTCCTTCTGCGGCACTCCTGCAGACATGTCAATATGTCATGCACGCACATCCAACCCTTCATTTTTCAATTATTGCCACTATTTTCGGTTGAATATAACCTTTTGAGGTGAGTATGACACAATTGRTTCTGCAAAGATGTTTTTTTTACGTGTATACAAATTTTCAAATTAAATTTAAGAAGCTATATAATTTCTATATTTAAAAATTAATTTAGTTTATATTGTAGGTTCCAAAATTTGTAAATGAAAACGGGACGGTTGATACATATGAGACGGGCCTGTTTCATCTAGTCTATGGAAAACTGACGTGTGCTAGCAAATACCAGTTGCTTCCATCATTGAACAAAAATGGTAGTGATAGAAACATTCCGATCGTATAAAACATATTTCCGCCTAGTTGTTCGTTTTCCATTTGTTCCGGAGCTTCCATCATTGAACAAAAATGATAATTTCCGTATAACCAAAATGGGGTGGTTACTGAATGAATCTGAAGCTATTATTGCGCCACCRGGTCAATTTTGTTTGGAGGCATTTGCCTCGCACAATTATCAAGTATTACCAGTTGTTTGTTCTCCGGAACAAATGGAAAACGAACAACTAGGCGGAAATATGTTTTATACGATCGGAATGTTTCTATCACTACCATTTTTGTTTTCAACGTTCCTCGTTTATGCTCTCATTAGAGAATTACGGAATTTACATGGAAAGTCTTTAATGTGCCACGTAGCAACTTTATTGGTGGCCTACACCAGTCTAATAACTGTTCAATTCATTACCAATAGTGTTATTCAAGAATGGTGCGTTTTTTTGGGTAAGTCAATTTTTTATTATACTTATAATTTATGGTCTATGACACACTTTTTACGAAATAAAAATTATATATGTATACCAACATATTTTCAYATCAATGTAAACATTTTGAATTTTTAACCATAATAAGTATATCCATTAAATATGTATCCACCTATGTTCATTAATTTATTCATTAAAATTATTTTAAGCAACATAAACTGATTAAACTGCTATCTGCGAACACAATATACATCATTATTATCTAATAACATAACCCTCCTAAATCCAGTAAATACATACCTAACTATAATAATATTATACAATATAATAGTAGCACGCAAATAAGTAATAATAACTGTTAMATGGTGTCATGGTGATAAAATAATATTCATACAATCATATAAATATGTACCTACCTACGTTGAACTGGATGGCTTTTTATGGTAGAAAATTCCACTTATAAAAAATATATTATTAGTTATATGAAATTCGCTAGCTCTTTGTATATATTTGTTGAAGTAAAAACTTGAGTGACTGATTTTAATATTTTAATTATTATAAAATGTATGTACAATAACGCTATGAACAATGAACTATACTCAAGCGTATATACCTATATAATAAAAGCATCATAAAAATTCGATTTATTTAAATAATATGTGGGTTCTTATATTATACAAAAATATATTTAAAAACATATGTAAAAATACCAGCTAATTAAATTTTAATCCTTAAAAATTCATTAAATGACAATAAATACCTATGAAATAATGTACACAAAATTAATTTAATAACTTGTATACTACTAATAGTTCTATATTATCAGTTTTAATTATGTAAATATAAATTATRCTACTATACACAGACACACAGTTATATATTTTATTCGGTAMATTTTACAGTTTACATACATTAAATATAAGCATTGGTTATCAATCAATAACACTTTAATTAAACTCATTATCTTGATGAAAAATATATTTTTGAAAAAAATTAAGTTCGAAAATGAATTTGTTAATACCAATCAGACAGATGATAGTAACTTTCCAGGAATTTAAATATTAAGGCGTGAAAATGTTAAGGCTATTATAGTTATTTTAGTGTGAAAACAATACTTTAAAGCTCCATGTACTCCAAGGTCTTATACACAGCATACATAATAACTAACCGTTTAACAACAATTAGATGATTTTCAGTTTATTTTAAAAATTCACATAAATTGTTTATTTTATTTTAACGAATATAATATATTATATAGGTAATCAATAGATTTTTAACTTGTAAAAAATGATAATAATCAATTTTAGTTTCAAATATGTGATATTTTTTTCAAAAATACAGTTATTACCTATAAAATTACTAAAGCATAAACATTTATAGTTATTGAATTTATTAAAATATGCATTCATTATATCCATAATAACAAAAATTATTTTCATAAATGTGTAGTAAAAATTTTCATAAGCATTTATGTATGACATTTTGGTATTTGATTTTAAGTCTAAATAAATTACTCCCGAACGATGAAAATACAAAAAACAAAATATAATAAAAATCATAATGACTCTAATTAAAAATATATTATTTAACCAAAATTATGTATGAAAATTAAATTTAAGATTTACGAGGGGTGGGTAGTAGTTGTATTGATACCTGCAGTAGGCAATAACTGATGATTTTTCAAGCTAAGTTGTTTACCACTGCAAATTATTTAGCTGATAATTTTTCTGAAAATCGACGTATGAAAACCAAAATTAGAAATATAAAGTGATGTGAATATAGAACATTTTAGTAATATATTAATCTATCAATTTTTAATGAATATAAGTTATATAAGTATCGAATCCAATACTACRTATTTAATATTTTTGTAAAGCCATTTATAAAGAAAAGGTACTAGGAGAGGGATCTATTTAAAAAAAAATAGAAGTTTATATTACTACAATACGTCTTAATAGTAGTAAAACAAATCCCTATTATTTAAAATTCCAAGAATCAGAATTTAAACAAATTCATTACTAAAAAAAAAAATGTGATGAGCTGCTTGGTGATATCACTAATTTGTAAATAATATCAATGACATTTTGTGATTTTTCTTTGTTTCAGCGTATACTATTCAATTCTCTTTTTTGGCAAGTTTTTTCTGGCTTAATGTTATGTGTTTCGACTTATGGTGGACTTTCAGGTAAATAAAATAATGCATAGAAACCCAATGACCTATGTTGCCAAGAGTAAATTTTTTGTTACTAAAAAAAWATATATATATTGTATAATGAGTGGTAGCCGGTAGGTACAGCTATTATACTGGTATAGTCGGTCTAAAATATTTCAGACTATACGGCGAAACAAGCTTCTCTTCGTATTTRAGTTATTTAGATGTTATAGGATAAATRTTAGTTATGTAAATAAATCAGGTATCATACATTAATACATTTACGAATTAGTCGGTTATATGCTAAACCGCATTTGTAGAAAATGAAAGATGTAAAATATGTAATKAAATATTATTTATATAATATTATGTTATTGTGATTATTTTTCATTTAAATGATAGTTGTTTAATAAAATATGTATAATGTATTATTAGTTTAAATTTTTTTAATACACCGGAACGCATAATACGTAAAAATGTATTATGGAGGGTTTAGACCATTTTTAAAAGAAAATCGTCCCCTCCAATATGAGGTCCCAGATACGTGCCTGGAATTTAGTAGGAGATTTAATCAAGCTAAAAAAAATATCATTAAATTATAATGAATCAATACATTTATTTATGTTGTTAACTAACATGTTTATTATTATAATTTTTTTAAAGATTTTCTCGCTGTGCAGTYTTCCAATTTTTTAATGGTTTTTCTACTTCTGTAATGGGAATAGCTGAATTTTTTTTATTGAACCGCACTGCTTCTAAAATAGAAAAAAAAGTTTATAAATTCATTAAAAGGTTAGGTTATATTAGGGTTATTATGATATAATAATATTTAAAATCGTTTGAGGATGAATCGTTAKCGTTACGCTATTTCGAAAAAATTTAAAATTCAAACGCACTTAAMATTTTTCCTATAATGAAGCTTCGAGTTTTATCTATAGCTATTTGAAGGAAAACTTATGGAAAACATATTGTTGTATTTTTAATTCTTAGTTATAAACACAAACAATTTTATGATTTTTCAACTTCAAAATTACTTGCAAATTTTCGCGTTTTCGACATATTTCGTAAAATTGAACTATAAACGCTTATAAAAAAAAATTGTGACTAACCATTTTTAATTTTTTTTAGCTACAATAATAACAACTTATAAGGAACCTTGTATTAAATTTTCAAGTTTTTTTGGTCGTCCAACATTTTTTTACCGACACTTCAAAAAAAGAATTCTCAAAAAAATTGAAAATTTCAGTGGTCTATAAATAACTCAAAAAAAGTCGAACATTTTTTAAAATTAAACTGTATATAGATATCACTAGCATTAACATTTGGTGAAAATTTCAATTATTTACAGTGATTAGTTTTTGAATTACAACCATATAAAAATATCGATTTGGTCGTAAACTGGTTTTGCCTAAAAATTACCGTTTTTCTGTCATTTTTTTTTTTGTTTTTCTCGATTTTTTTGAAAACTGTTGGAAAATGTTTACTTTTAACCTCTATAATGCTCCAAGGATATTCACTTTTACATCGGAAACCACCCCCAAAGTTTGAAATTGAAGCATTATTTCGAATAGTTATTATGCTGTACACAGACACAAAAAAAAACAAAAAAAAAACACATCATTGTAAAATCAATACATTCATCACTTCGTTTAGAATCTAAAATTATATTATTGTATATACGGCATGATAGATAGTTACGTGTTTTAAATTATCCAATCTAAATAATGCATTAATAAAAATAAATCATAAATGGAAGTTTATGCGAGGAGGGGGAGATCCTAGGCCAGTTAAATATCTCAGTTAGATACTTACTTTAAATTAACTCATATTATTGTCTATTAAGTCTATAATTATGTTAAACATAGAACTTTAATTAAAATTCAATATTTTTATTATTTATTAAAAATGTTTACTTTCTTGATCGTAAATAATAAATTATGTAACTATAGGAACACACATTATTTCTTATTTTAATCATAATATAATGTTGGCAAGTGGCCAAAATTATAGAACCTTGGAAGTGGAAATCACGATGTATACTACCACTTGAGTACAGTTTTTAGATTTACGTCTTTACCTATATATTAGTGTTAATATTGTAATAATTACCTTTTATACAATTTGAATATAGATATACTAATATATAATTTACAATTAATATATTATTCGTACAATTATCATAAGATAACAATTACCTCTAGTTTATTGGAAATGGGAAAAAATGCTCTTTTTATTTTTGAAATGGTTCTTATAGTTTTTTATATATTTTAGCATATACTTAGTTAACCGTTTTTAAGTAATATAATAATGCAAATTGTACAAATTGTACAAATTACAATATTATAGTATGCAGTCTACAATAATATTATTATTTTCCCAATTATTTTTTATTGATTTTTACATAAAACATCAGCTGCTCGGGTCTTTAGTTTGACATTTATTTAAAATTAATTTTTGTGGTTTCACTGTGATATTGCGTGGATTAAATTAAGTTATATAATTGTATTTATTTTATAAATTGTATAATGTTGATGGTTATTGATTGTGTGTCTGGTCCTAGTGCTTCTCCGATCTGTTGTGAAATATGATGTTTTTTCTTGTGTCTTCGTATTTTTGACACTCTGTAATGATGAAATGTTTGACTATGTATCGTCCACTCCTCACGTTTCGCATATGGGTGGCTCTCTTTTTGTCATGACTCATGAGATGGTTGTGCGCGATGAATGTGTGTCTTATTCTAGCCGATTTAGTATAATTTCCTCTTTTCTCAAAATATTTAATTTAACTAATAACAGTTGACATATTTTTGATTTGATATGCATTATTTATAATTATTTCCATTTATTAAAATGTTTTTATTTTATAATATGATTTATATGTAAGTGGACAAGTGGTTAATTTATATTATTCATTACCTGTAGCTAGATTCTATACAAATATAAAATTTGTTATAGTAATTTATTTAATATATTACATGATGTAAATAAATGTAATTTACATCCTACCCGACCATAAACCCAAAAAGATACTAYACACAACCAGTTTCCTGACAACTCTCTTATAACAACAGTCAACAAGCGCATTATCTTTGAAAATTTTAAAATTACCTATCAGTGAAAACGTTGACTTCCGCACACAAACATTGAACAAAATACAACGTTCTTCTCCTCCTTGGCCATGGTCATCAAACTCAATATACAACTAACCATTCACTGCAAATACTACATTGACAGCACAATTATATCCACAACTTCTTTTTGGAAATAATAATGTTTCAACAATACTTCAATCTATTTACATTKTCACATCCATAAACTTCAATAGAGTACGCTTTCCTATTATCATAGTACAAGATAATYACGAATTTTCACTTCCACCCAGTACTAATATCTAAATAGCGGAAACTTATACTATTCTCGGTGCTATTTTTAGACTCCTTCACTATCCTATAGTGGCTCTCTGTGTGTTATAAAATCAAACACAAATCCCTAATCAAAAGATGAACTAGTGCAGCACATTCAAGAGCTGTTATCAACAATCACTAAAACAATTAATTTCACGTAGGTCCCTTCTCACGTCGAGATTCCTGGTAATGAATTAKCAAATAAAATTGTAAATGAAGCTATACACTTCTTCGTGGATATTCCCCTGTAAATAACTGTCCTATCCCATCCACTCCTATGCTTTATTTTCTCGATTAAAAGAAACCTTAACTTACTTTAAAAAAATAAACATATACAGAGTTGGTTCTATTTAACATAACTAATTAAATTAGTTGTTACGCATGGATTAAACAGAAAAAACAAACTGTGCGCCGACATCTTTTTAAAATTTTAATTTATATATATATATATCTATTATAAGATGTCTTAAAAATGTTAATTTGAATATAGAGAGAACACTGAAATTTAAATTGTTTATGAATAAAACGTAAAATAAAAGCATTTATATATATATATATTTTATAAATATATAAAAGCTTTACATTTTTTGATAAATAAAAACAACATTTATTGTTTAAACAAATTTTTTTTCGAAAATTTGATCAGTTTTTGATCATTTTTCTGAACTTGAAAAATAATAATTTTTTAATACTAAATATAATTATTAATGAAGTATAGACAATTAATAAATTGACAACAAAAAGTTACATTTTTAAAAATAATAAAATAAACAAGTAAAACACTTAAATAATTTGATTTATTTATATTATTTATTTTTTTAGCGGATTTAGACCACTAAGAGGAAATATACAAGAACATGAAGCGAAAAAGTTTATAATTTATTCCATATATGCATGGGGCTGTACTTCTTTTATTTCAATATTTACATTTGCCATGGAAGAATACTTACCGTTTGATACAATTCGTCCAGAATTCGGAATTAAGAGTTGCTGGTTTAAATGTGAGTACTTTTTATGAAAGTTATTTATATTTAAATCAAGCTGTAATTATTTACATAAGAATATAGTTGAAGTCATAATATTAATATTTTTTTACATTATTGATATTGTCAAAATAAAGACGAAATCCTATAGACAAAATACTTCTTTTTTGAGAATTTGGTTTTTAAGTAGGATTATTACCCAAATAGTTATTGTCACAAAAATGGTTTTAACAAATAATTKATAGACGCCTGCAGCGATCAAAGTATCTATTTAAATCTATATTTAATGTTGTGTCTATAGAATCAACTATCAAAATGTATGTTTTTAAAAGGTGGTTTGTTTGTCAGTCCGCTGTCCAAAATAATAGACRATGGGAAACATGATACATTATTAATAGTCTAGTTATTGCAATATTTATTGGCTAATACAATAGTATGCCTATAAGGCTATAAAATACTTAGGTACATAAATTATGGCTAACGCTAAAAAGAAAACTGGTTCAAGTTTATATTATGATGACTGTGATGACTGATGAGTAGTACTCAAAATGGACCAATGAAGTATTTTTGTCTTTAAATTTTTTATCATTTTCGAACTCATATTTAATTAATTCATAACCAACCCCAAATTCTATTAACATACGCTGGGTTCCTACGATTTATTTAAGTCTAAATAGAACATATTTGCATTTACTCATATAGAAAAAAATACACAGAAATACATGTAGCATAAAAAAATTCGCMCGCACTTCAAACACAGGTTAAAATAAAATTGAAATAAGTTATTCCCTTTATTGAATTATAAAATATTAAAATTATACAGAATTAAAATTGTATTAAAAAAAACATTTACCCAGACATTTTGTTATTTAATTATTTAATTATTTAATTATTTATATTTTAGCATATTCAGCCACACTGTTGTATTTTTATGGTCCTATTGGTATTCTATTATTTAGTAATCTTTTGATGTTTATACACACGGCAATTATGATTGTGAAACACATGAATGACGCTAGAGTACTCAGTGGATCTGAAAGCCAAAAGAATGTAGACCATGAAAAACAAAGGTAAATACTGAAAATTGTACAGACAAATTTGTGTAAGTTACACAGTGTAACTAATAGTTGGTAGTTACATACTCACGTTTTGCAATAGCAATAGAAATTATGATATTTGCTTAATAAATTTGATACACAAATAATTTGAGGTCATTAAATTAATTGAACAAATAATGTTTGAAATTAGAAATATATTGTATTTCAGATTCATGCTGTATTTGAAACTATTCATCGTCATGGGTGTCAATTGGTTAGCGGAAATTATATCATGGGCATCAGGTTCAGATGGCTCAGAATTAGTATGGTATGTCACAGATATCGGGAACTCATTGCAAGGAGTGTTGATTTTTTAATTTTTGTATGCAAAAAACGTGTTTTAAATTTATTAAACAAAAAACTTTGTCCGCGTTTTCAACTATTTAAGGCATTTACCGCATCTACTAGAACCACCAATAGCACTATCTCTAGAACTAGTTCCAATGCCAAAAATAAAGATTCAGTTGAAATGTCCACTAATTGTAGAAAAACATCAACTAATAATCAATTACATGATTTTAAAGTTTAATTAAAATAAAATAGTTATAACTATTTGTAATATTTTATTTTATTTTATCAACAATTATATTAAACTTAAAACTGTATTATCACTACCATCATTATTTTAATTTATGTCTTTGACCACGATTTTTATTTTTATAAGAATTTAGTTTTTTTTTTTTAATACCATTTCATGTTAGTTCCAAAAGTATAGTCACATGTATAGCCATATAGGTACACTATTTATAAATAATTTCATGTTAGCTAGTATGCTTAGCATGTATAATTTTCATATTTTTATTAATAAACCTTAATGTATTTGTAATAGTATAGTAGGAGAATATTTATGATAGATATTAAACATAACGAATAACAACTTTTAAGATTAATAATAATTTTACTAGTCATATATTAATCAGAAACCTTACAAAACTTAATTTGCTAATGTACCTTCTACCTAGTATTAATTAATACTTATTGACTATTGTGTTTATATACTTCTCGATTTGTATTAGTTACGTTACCTAAATATTATAATAATTTATTGAATAGTTACTACTTATTTATTTATTGCACATAACAATGATTTAAATGTTTTTTATGTAAGATTTCTATATTTTAATAGATTATATTTTAACCAAGCAAACAGACGAGTAACTAGTGTACAAAAGATTTTTTAAGAGAATTTTTACCACAATACCCAACATACACACACACACACACACACACACACACAAACACATATGACGTATAATCATGGACAGATAGGCCTATTGATAAAATTTTAAAAAAGGTGTCAACGAGAAATTCCCAGCTTCCCAGTAAGCCTATCCACCCATCATGCGTATAATTTATTAAGTACTATCTATATTTTATAATAATGTAGTTTATAAAGTTGTATACATATATTTATTATAAAATCATGTAAATTAATAAATATACTTTAATGATAAATTATTTTAATTAATAAACATAAGAATAATTAAAATTTCACATAGAAAATTGAATAATATTATATATTAGYTCTAAATTCTAAGCAGTGGAGCTATGAATGTATTAATTTTATAATGATGTGTTTCTGGTCTGGTTCGGTTATCGTACGGATTTTATGTGGAAGAGGAAATTGATTGACCACCATAAACCTGGCAGTGAATAACTATAGTTAAATTATTTGTCATAGGGATTTGCATTTCGTATAAATATATAAACGTTTATATAATATAAAAGCATAGATAGGTAACATATAAAATATAATAAGTATAGAACTATAAGAATTAGGCACTAGGATAAGACAAGTTACTAATGACACTGTGATCATTCAATTTTCCCTTCAACGGAATGTCCTAACACAAAATAGGCAATTATTTGGACTGGAAAAGTGGAAACAATTATACTCTTATAATCATATACCAGTCCACATTATTTTAGTACATGGTGAAAACATTATCAGCCTCCCCTCTTCAAAAAAAAAAAAGTAAAAATTCTTGTTACGCCACTACAATAGCTTAAAATTAATTTAAATAAGTATTTTGAAAATATCATTCTGTTTAGTAATGTATAGTCATACATACATACCATATACATAAATATTTCAAGTCTAGCGAATATATTTTAACCAAAACTTTAAATATTTATTTTCATATTCAATTTTGTTAGAATTTAAAATTCAATTTCCAAACAAAAATTTGTACTTTTGTGTTTTGTATTTATTTKATTTTTAGTTTTCACTGTTTTATATTTGAGTAAATTACATGGCTAGGTATCATTAAAACTCTTTGTAAATCAATTCTTGGTAAGTCCTATGATATCCACTATCCAGTCCATACCCTGATTAAAAGTAAATTATCAGGCAGACCGGCTGCCTGTCTTAATATCCTGATCGGTTTAATCAAATTTAACCGGGCTAGTAATAGCCCCAATTAAGTAGGGTATGGCTACCACATACCCTACATCATCCGAACCCCAAATCCACTCTATCAAATTATTAGTGATTTGAATAGTAGTTAAATTACCATTTTATTTATATTACAATACGCTAACAAAATTACCTAAGAAATTATAACTTAAACTATAATTAATCAAAGGTATGAATAAAAATTTCAATTAAATGTTATATTTATTTTAATACTTATAACAATCATTTGGAAGAAAAATGCAATTGTGTACATTATAAGAAAGAATATATGTCCTACAAATATTATTCAATAAATTATTTGACACAGCTAATTTAGTAAATGAAAACAAAAATAAATTTTCCTACAATTATATATATAATAGAATTATAGCAAATAAATTGTAACAAAATGTGCAATAACAGAAAATACATTTAAAGGAAGAGATATATTAGGATGGACGGCTGATCTGTAAATCTTAAGGGTAAAATAAATTAGGAGCACTATAAAAACAGCTCATTTTAAAGATATGTAGTTTTAACAAAGGTCCTTAATATATATAATTAAAAATAATTTTAAATAATAGCATATTATGTTGGAGATTATCATTTATCATGAATATAAAATTATTTTTATACATACACTAATATAAAATCTATTTTGTGTCACTAATTCATATTTAATTAAATTATAATAATAGGCAAGAATACAATAATATATTAATAAAATACTTTGTATAAAAAAATCAACGGGAAAATAAACACTGGTAAATATATAACGGGATAGTCTTTAACAAGGTTAGGGTGACAACATACTATATACAATCAACAAAATATAGAAATTATATGCATATAGGAATGTCAATTATACAAGAAGTTTTTCTTTAATTTTTTTGTTCTTTGGCAGGGTCGACTCTCTTTGGCTACTGCTTGTGTAATATACAAGCCGGAAYATAGTATGACATACAAAATATTTTAATATTTACATTTGTTTTTGCTACTCCTAGATTTAAATATTTTAACAATAGATAATAATTATAGATATGAACATGTTATTACTTATTACACTTGATCAGATAGTACATTATAAAAGAACTCGTGTTACACAAAATTAGTATTCTTTTTACATGGTGTTATTGGTATGATTACTAATAACTATAGTACAATTAAAATTAGACAATTTTTAAACTTGATTCAWTAATAGAAATTATAAAAGGTCAAACTCATTGCTAATTTGTTACAATGAGAAATGCTTTAATATTTAAGTGTAATTTTGTGATACTCATAAGTGTAAGTCATAAACAATAATGTTAATAATTTGAATACAACAGACTACCACAATCACATGTTAATAATTATTAAGTTAGTATAAAAATCTATCTTAACTATTCACTTGATATACAAAAATCTCAAGTYATTATGGTTAAAACATGATAAAAATTCATCATTCAGCTATCTATAAAAAAAATAACCTAATGCTAATTTGATTATGATTACGGAAAGTATCTGTTACAATTTTATTTAGTATAATGTGCGCAAAGCAAATATTCCCCCACCAGAATAGTTATTTACTGTCAAAAACCAATTATGTAAGATGATTTTTGACATGTATGACGTGTTAGTTAGTAGATCATGGTAATGACTGTCTTATCATAAAAACAATAAGAACACCCTGCCCGTCGTCCGACCAACGGAAGGTCACTAAAGTACTACGTCAGGCAGGGGTGCCGCACACTAGGCGGACGATGTCACTTTACGTTCTTTATAGTAGATTTCTTCAGATTCTTTGTTGCATAACAACAATACAACAGCACCAAATAAAAATATTCCAGCACCCCATCCTACGCCGTAGGCCCATCCAAACTCCCACACAGTACGGTTTCCTAAAATTTTTTTATACAAATTAAAGTTAAATCAACAGACAACAGTTATTATAATTCTACAATTTACCTAAATTTAATTCAGCCGCAAAACATACCGGATACACAATCAATGCTATCAATAAGGACAATACTGTAAACAAAACATACTAGAGTTAATAACAATGGTTTGTGAGAAACAATGATTAAGATTATTAAGGTATACATACATGCAAGTAGCATAACGTAAACAGCTACTCTGTAGAATTTGTATTTGGTCCGTTGATCTTTGCTTCTCAACCCAAGCCCCGTTAAAAGAGTAGCTACTATGTCTGTGACTAACGTAACGATACACAAAGCTGCAGCTACTCTTATATATCCTATATTATTACAAACAATTAGTTAAAATTGAATATGTGAACAAAATGAAATCTGATACATACCAACTTCACGTGTTGGATAACAATCTGGACCGTTGTCAGGCACATTAAATGGTAATGGTGTAGGAGCATTAACCGCAATGCAATGAGAAAACAAACCTTGACGCCAACCGGCTGACAATAACCAATCAGTGGACGTCAATGTCAGTAGCATCAGAACAATTACAATTAGACCACATATCAAAGCAATCACCTATGAACACAAAACATATTATTAATTATTTAAATCTTATAATCGAACAATCAAGATGTAATACTATAAAAGTTATTATTTTTTTTTTTTTTTAATGAAATATAAAATGTTAAAATAGCTAGATTTATAAAAAAAAGCTAATAAAAAAAATTTAAAAAAAATTAAATGTTAAATAAATATTATTTTTAACATTAAAACATATCTTTTGGACAAATATATTATTTACTTAACACATAAGTATTTGGTTTTTAATTTGTAGTTGTAAATTACAATTAACATTATCTAAATTAAAAAAAAATAAAATATTTAAACCTTAAAAAATAATTAGTAAAAAAATTCAATATCCATTATCATCAGGAACAAAATATGTTCCTACCTACCTATATGGTTATATTATTCTTTAATAAACTAAGTTTAATTTTAATATCTCATAGCTCATAAGACATTATTTTACAACAGTATTGTAATGACTCATTAAATGAGCGAATTAAAAACTATATTTTCATTTGTGAGTTTTTAAATCATTAACTGATCCTATAGACAACCATCTTACTCTTTTGGTCTTGTTGACAGGAGAAACTGTTACCCTCGTCCACCTAAACCCACCATCACTTTTTATGTATTTTACCTAAACCTAACTACCGATCATAACTGCAGATAGTACTTTAAATGCAAATATAAGTAGCTCTGCCTGCCTTTAATACTTCTTCCTAACCTGAGTACTGTAACCCTTGTCAGACTGCATCGACCTGCCGTGCCAGTCTTCTGTTTCTGCAGCCGTCGCTGTCGCCGGATGAAGCGACAGTTCCTGGCGCCGTTGCCACGTAGTATCCACGGCCGTTCGTGACAGAGTCAGCTTGCCGCCGTATTGCGGGCCCGTCTTGAATACGCGTTTCCGGGCAAAATGCCCAGAGAAATTTGTTCGATCGTAAGATGTATTTATACACACACGCGAGCGTGTTAAATATAACGTGCGTATTCAGATAGAGAGGACTATACTATTAAATATACCTAAGTCCAGGCGTAAAGACTAAAGAGACAAAGAATAAAAACTATGGTAGGTATATTATAATTTATAAGATGCGCGTGACAATATTATTCCGTAAGCACGTGAGCAATAACAACGATCAGGAAAATACAACAAAACGTATTTGTATATATTTTGAGAACAAATTGAATTTGTGAKGCCGCGTTCGGTATCTGTATATAAAATTATCAACGGAAGTTCGATTTCTCTATGGGACTCTACCTTTTATTCGGAACGTCAATAAATACACTCGCGAGAATATACGTAGACGTGCGCACACACACACACACACACACACACGTACAATAACACACAGTATAATATTGTTCCTTTCTGCGCGGATCTAGGCGGTTGGCAGTTGGCACGCGCACGCTCGAGAGTTTACCCACCCTTAACTCGCAGATTGCATTTAGCAGCGATTTGGGAGTAGAAGAATCCATTTCGACCAACGACGACACGGATGGGGGTTCGATCGATGAGACGGGCCACCGAACGCGCCGCCGCGATGACTATACACACGACCGCTAAGGGTGGTTACTGGTTATTACCTTAAATATATATATATATATATAGGCGATAATAATAATACACGTATATGTATGTCTATGTTGTTCTTTATTATAATATTTATAAAAACTTTACAGCCTACGCGTTGCAACGTTACCGTGCCCCATATTGCCATCCGCAAAGTTTGAGATAAACATAATATTTTCACTCGCATATCTCTTCCAATGTCCAATCTCTCAATAATATAAAATTCAACCATCACGCCCCCCCGCGACTATTTAGAGCAACTCCATAAAGTTTAACGTAAATTTGTGATTTTTTCCCTCCCGCACACCATACCATATCTATATTTTATATTATATTCGCTACACCCGTTACGCAATTACCATCCATACACCACTGACGAAWCGAACTAAGACGAATGCACATCGCGTACATAGAATAATATTATAAATTTTTATTTATTGATTCTTGCAACATCATAAACAGCATTATATAAGAAAATTCATACGATATCGACGACTGCAACAAGAACGATATAATATTATAGACGGAAATAAATTGGTTCAAAGTCAGTATTACCACTATTTTAATTAGTATATTATACAATTTATTATTATTAGTAGTAGCAGTAGTAGTAGTAGTAGTAATATATATCTCTTTATATTATTATATCATAATTCCAAATACTATGTACGAAAATTCGGGAAACTTATCAAATTTTTCGGAGACACCATGGTCAGTGAGCTGTGACGGACAATTCACAAGTGGTTGCCTATTCACCCCCTTACAATACAATAAGCTATATTTTAAGGGATTTTGTATAGGCAACTACTAGTGAAATTGTTCGCAATTCTAACACCTACATTAACTTAAAGTTTATCGTATTGTCGTACACAGTATTTGTATATATGCACGTTATTTTATTTAGAATACCATACGAACAAAATATTTGTCTGTACACGAGCCTTATGATTTATGGAACTTTTAATGCATCTAATGTCATATTCTTGACAGAAATATTAAATAATATTCATATTTATTTAATTAAGTAAATTGTCAATACAGATATCCATAGGCGTGTGCAAACCTGCATTTTAGATAGTATCAATTACAATACTCATGGGCCCCCTTCTAAAAAGTCAAGTAAATTATAATGAATATTTAGATATTAATAATAATTTATCACATGTTATAAAAAAAACTAAATTGTATGTAGTTACAACAGTTAAAACAGGCCCAGGCTCAGGTGCTTAACTTTAAAGGCTTTAATAACAAAATATAAAGAGGTGACCAGGCATATCTTGTGCTGTGGCGCTGTGCACACAGTAATTAGTCATACTGTAAAAACTACACTAAAATTCTTAGCTAATAATAACTAAACAGTAAACATTTACATCCACATATGAGTTAATAATCTTTTTGATTAAAAAAAAATTGTATTTAACCAGCATAGAATTAATAAGCATCGATAATAAAAAATAGCTTACTTTTAAAGGTCTAGTGATAGTAATAGTTTCAACTGTAGTTGATTGTGACATTTTATTTGTTCAAATTTGATAACTGCTGAAAAAGATATAAATATAAATAAAAACAATATTTGAAGAAACTAAATTGAGTTTAGGTATAAATTAAAAACTAGTTTTAAAATATTTTGTAGGAATTATTAGCACAAATTTGAAATCTCAGAAGTACTAAAAGAAAAAATTTTATGACTTTTATGAAGTATGCAGCTTATAATATACCTAAATAGTCAAAAATATAATTTATTGGAAAACAATAGTTAATCGGACATATCCCACCATTTAGTATTTAAAAAAAAAAATGTTATTAGCCTATAAGCAGAAATTCTGCTATTAAAAGCAGATATTCTATTCGTTTTAAATAATGCAAATTGTCATAAATACCAATACTCTAAAAGGGATTGTTCTAGAAACTAACACTTTTTAATTTACTATTGGTTACTTTTTGCGAAGATTGGCATCACTAAAATTAAAATAATTATGTTTTTTTTTTAAATTATTCTTTGCTAATTTTGTGTGGTAAGATTTTGGGCCCCCTCCCTAGAATTCAATCAAATATTTACCTATAGTAGTCTTTATAATGAGAAATGCTGTTTATTTTAAATAAAACTTCACTTATGGGTTGTCTTCAGCTAACAAATGTACAACACAGCAAAAAATGTTTTGCACAGGACATATTTACTTTCTTTGTATTCATAGTAGAATTACTAGAATTACTGAAATTCCTAACACATAGGGAAGAACTTTATATGTGACTTAGCATTTTTGTTTTTGATAGCATTAACCAATAATTTTTAATAATTAAATGAAATAAACGAATAAAAACTTAAGTTCTAAAACTGATATCTTTAATTGTATTTATAATATAACATAGATTTTTATCTTTTCTTCACTACGCGTTATGCAATTTTAGTAATTCTACTGAAATATATAGGGAGGAGCAATAGAACTGGTGGTTAGAGGTCCCCACTTTTGTATATAAAACTGCTATGTTACCATAGTGGTGAATAAACGATACAGGAACGGGTGGCAATATTGTGATGAACAGTTCCCACCCATTCTTGGTTTTTGAACAGGGGAAAAAAAAGCACTACTGGTTCTTGCTACAGCCCTGTGAGGGAGTAAGTTGTCCATGCAAAACAGTTTTGTGTATGTTGTGCGTTTGTAAGATGGAGACGGAGACAAAACATGTGGGTGTAGAATCTTCTTCATGTTGCAATGTTACAAAACTTTAAATAGCCCAAAAATATATTTTTTTATATAAGTTTCAATGTATGGTTATAAAAATAAAAAAATAAAAATATTTATGAAAAAAGTAAAAACAAATAATATTTAGTAATTAATATAAAATAAAATCGAAACAAGAAGTTTGGGTAATTGTCCAACACAGAAAAATTATTGATCCAAATTATATAATGTTCATTACCTATATAATCTATAAAATGGTAAAAAACTTAGTATCTTATAATTCTTATATACCGTTCATTAATTGCTCCAATTAATTGTCAAAAAACATAAACGGAATAAACGGATTTAATATCTTTTGTCATTTTGTATCATAAATAAAATATGAAGAAATAACTGTAAATAATGGCTTTTGTCGCTGATGTTTTTAACAATAAAAAAAAAAATTAAAAAAATATGAAGTGAGGACAGGTGTGGCGTGAGGTCTGGCCGCACTCACTAATGTATACTGCGGTAACAAATCTTCACTCCATATAGAAATGTGTTTATAAAACTAACTGTAAGTAACTCCAAACAAAATGCTCAAGGCCATAGTAACTTCAGCTTTATAATAAAACTTTAAAAAAATTGTATACAATGTTTTATGCAATTAATACAAATGATGAAAATTAAATTGTATTCAAACAAATAATTTGTTTTGATTTGTAAATTATATATATCAGTTCATTTAATTTTTTTACTTGGTAGGGGAGATGAATTAATTTACACTTTATTTGTAAATTGTAAATCATAAATATTTGGTAGGTTAATATTTTCAATAATTGGAATATTTCCTTTGCACTCTGCAGTTTGCCTGTTAATTGTATGGTACTAAAATATACCACTGATAAGAAACCAGCTACTGTAATTAAAATGTTGTAAACACTTGTTGGTCACTAATTGCTATTTATTTATTACATAAAATGAATAAATGTTAAACTTTATAAAAACATTCCACCTTGTCGTAACATTAAATCCTACGTACTTAACATAATTTTTATATAAACCTATTAATCCACTAAATAAAAAAATAAATAATAATTAGACATGGTTATAAAAAAACAAATACTTAAAATTATGAAAATTAGATAGATACTTATAAAGCATTTACTTTACTCAGACATAGATTATTGGTTATTCCATTCAGTCCTAGGTACCAGAAGGTATTAGACAAGGCATAATAAGATAACTTTACACAAAATAGGTAAATCTAAAAATGATATTATTATTTACAAATGACAAAAACATAATCAATGCATTTAAATATTGACCTAATTTTCGGCGTTCTAAATAATATATTGATTATTGATATATTATATTATTATAAGACCAATACTTACACCTCTTGAAGACTATAGTCAAATAGAAATATGGTATTCTGTACATTCACATAGTATGATAATATTCGTACTGTAATATTTTACACCCCAAATCCTGAAATAAATTAAGTGACGCAAATAACAACATAAACGCTACACTAAATAATCAAAATAAAGATTAAAGACTGTGGCAACTGGCCGAGAGGAACTGATTAATATCTAAATAATGATTGTTTTTTTCCGTGATTGTGATAGTGTCCAATTTTCAGTGTTGATCATAATATTATGATTCATAATATCAACTATAACACTGTTATATTATCATAGGATAATAGGTACTGAGTAAAAAACCAAGTGGCCAGTGGGTATAAAATATTGTAAATAAAAAATATATACTATCACTTGTTTAGTTGTTTATTATAAGCAATCAGTCTGACCATATGATAATTTTGAAATATCTACGAATAAAATTAAAATGATAAATAAAAAGTTAACTGCCATAAGTGCTATAATTATTTTATTACATAGTAGTGATAGTAGCTAAGTAGCTTTAACCATAGACGGTAATAGGAGGTGGTTTRGGGGAAGCTTAGTCAAAAATATTTAGTTTTTAGTTGTGCGTGATCGACCCCCCCCCCTTACCATCACATTGATGCTAAAAATTTCAATAAAAACATATTTTGTTCTGTAATGAAAGTTTAAAACGTTAAAAATTAACTTTTTAATTGTGAGCGATCTGAAGGTTAGGTTAGGTGTTTATTCTGTAGTACTTTTTAAATGCAATTATTACTAATTTATTTAGTGTGTAACATTTAAAGATTCAAATAGATTAATGGTATGTGGTGGATCATAGAGTGGAACCAAAAATTATATTTTCCAAGTTATTCTTAAATTGACGAATTTTTCACTTTGAATGCTTATAAAAAATACCTTGTAATCAATTTTAAAGCTTTTTGACCAAGGACACATTTTTTTGTAAATTATGCCATGCCTATCATATGCTAACATAAACACTATGGATATTTTAAAAATCTGTGGTTATTCGTTTTCAATAATATCTAAATATTTTGTTGAAAACTTAAATCCGTAAAAATTCACGTTTTCGGAAAACGGGTTTCCCAAACAAAATATTTAATAACATATTAAAAAATAATAATAACTAACAACATATTACATTTTTGTGTTGTTAGCTTTTATACTTTAGAAGTGAATTTWCCCAAATTATTAAACTAGAAGGTAAGAAAAATATATCTGTGTTTGTATGTGTTGGTATTTTACAAAATTTTAATTAGCTCATTACTCATCTTATAAAGTTATAACCAAAATATAATGATCGTCTTATAATACTTAAGTTACTTAAAAATCATCGGTCAATTAACATTTAAAGTACATTTTTTTTAACCATAACCTACCCCTATATGCTAATATTTACATTGATTAAGAATTTAAAACTGTGGTACCTATTACTTGCTATCCTCTATTATACATTGGTTGTGAATAGAATGACAATTTTATAAAATATTAGCTATGCTAAATTTAATATAGTAAAAATAAAACATAAACCTTTTTATCATAGAATACAACTGTATAAAATATAAGTACCTACTTTTTTTGTCCATACTTAAGAATGAGGCTTAATTTAATTTTAGTGTGGGCCACACACCCACACCAATGTTTGAATAATCCCCGTATAGTGATAGATACCTACCAATCGAAGTGAATACCACTTTCATAGATTTATACTGATGTTAAAGTGACATAAACAAAAATAGTCCACTGATTAATAATCATTAGCATCAGTAATTACTTAAATAAGTTATATAAATTATAATATCAACAATATTAAATGAATTTGGCCCATTTGGATGGAGAGTGGCCCAGTGGGCTGAGACAAGTTTAAAACTATTACAGTTGTTGTTTATTTTATTGTATAAATCAAATTATTAGTTTTTAAATATCTTATAGGTATGTGGTAAATAATGAGACTACAAGGAGACATGGAATCAACCGATGACGAGCTTGACCAGAGTGTGTTCGAAAACAAAAATGGCTTAGCTGACGATATGGCGTTCCTGGCCAGTATGCCCGAATTATGTGATGTAACTTTTTTGGTCGGTGATACAAGAGAACCAGTATGTGCTGTGAAAGCTGTCTTAGCTGCAAGGAGTCGGTAAGATATTTATGTTTTTAACTATTTTTTGTCCTTAATAGTGTTTAAAATAAATATGGATACTATAGGTATTAATATAAAAAATTGCATTACAATTTTATAACAATATAGAATATTTAAATTATGGTTGTTCAAGCAGAACTATGAGAATCTAATTTCAAAATATTTTGAATAMCACATGGTATTGATATTGGAAATTTATTAAATTTACGTGTTATACTACTAACATAATAATTATATTAAATATTTTAAATATTTTGTGGAAGTATAGGTATTTGTTAGACTTTATATTAATACAATGGCATATAATAAAATTTTGATCAAACGATATCCATTAATACGCTTATAGGTATAGGTGACAGAAATGCTGAATCTTATCTCTTTACGACCACATGGCACATAGTACATTAGTACATTAAAAACAATATAATATTATAGTGTGTACTATAATAGTAACAATAATTATCATCCTAACCAGCTAACCAACAATAATAACTATTTTTTTATAACAATATATGCAATCTACTATATACAGCAGGGTGTAGGGTTTAATTTTAGTTCTATTAACTCTGTATGTTATACATTAAGTATTAAGTCAAGTCAAGGCCTAACTGGCCTRAATTGTATTTTGGCCAATGCATTTAATATTTTAATAAAATATCCCATAGACATAATCACATACACCATAATATATAGTCTATAATTAAAACGTATGTTTAGGGACTGGATTTAAATGCCATTTAAATTATCAAAAAGTGATTTTAAAAATACCAAAATAAGCATTTTAACTACAACTTACTGTAGATAGATTAATGAACAATTAATTCAAATCCTAGCCTATGTATGATATAACGAGTAGAAAATATTGAGTCTTTAACAATACAACATTAAAATGATTACGTAAGCTTCTAAGTATACCAATAGAATAGAGATCAAAACAACAACATCCTACTAACAAAATAATACACCATGTTTAATACTTTAATAATAGCTTTTTAATTATTTCACAACGCGTAAACACAAAATAATAAGATTCCAAGAATTATTATCTTGATCTTGTTTATAAAACTCGGGGGTGTTTTTAGCAGTGATTGTAAGAATTTTAAGTAAATATCATTTTTTTCTAGGTATTAATGTATTATTCATATATAAAATATAATATATGGRAACACGTGCACACCAAATACACAGATTGTTAAATCGACTAAGTAAACTATCTATAAAAAATGTTGATAAATTTATATTTTTTAATTTATATTATTATATCATATTATTTTCAGTATTTGGTGTTTGATATTTTAATTACCGAAAACATTACAGTATTTATATTTTAATTTTATACGTGACCTAAAGCCTAAAAATAATTATTAATGGACATGTTTGAGCAATAATAACCGTATCTTCTATTTGTTTAAAATTTTAAATAAGCCTTCAGTTCCAGAAGTAATTAACTGTACAATAATCAATTAAATTTGTATATAAAATTAATAATTATTWTATAATAAATAATTACACTTCAGGGTTTCTAGTTAAAAGTAAAAATTAATAAAGATTGTTATAAAAAAATATATATTTCTTAATTTCTTATAGTCTGGACTCTGGAAATTGATTAAATATTTATATTATATTATATTATATTAATATATTATGTAGATCTATTCAATGTTCTGGGCTAAAATAAGCCGTACTTAGGTGCAGTGAAGTAGATTTTTTAGTGTTATTTTTTGTCAATTTGTAATAAATTTAATTATAAGGAAGCGTTTTTAAAAGTTTTACTTTTTTAAAATACATCATTGATGATGAAAAGATAAATAAATATAAAGCATGTACAAAGTATTATGAAATTTGAATTATAAATTAAATTATAAAAAATTATAAAAATAATAAAATAAAAATCAAGRTTAATACATGATAATTAAACAATTAAAACATTCATTAATGTACAGTTAATTATTTCACTGTTTCCTAATATCGTCTAACTGAATTCCCAAAATCCGGAGTATTTATTTTTCCTTAGATATTATTTTTATTTTTATATTTGCCTTATATTAAACACCTAATATTAGGTTAGGTTTAATATTATTAAAGGTATTACACCATACATTCATGCACGTCAATAACATTTTAAGTTCGTGTATCTACATTACCATCAAAATTTTAGGAAACGTAATATTTTATTTTGGGGATTTTTATTCAGATTACCGAGGGTTCTATCCTTTAGTATGGAAAATAAGAACTATCGATATATTTGTTATGATTAGTGTTTATCCTTTTATCAAAAAAATCATAACCTTCTTCTATTTCTAGAAGAAAAAAATTATGGTTGTTTATCCAAGTAACATAAATTTAAATATTATACGGATTTCTTAACTTATTTAAATCTGCTTCTTTTGTGATTGCCGTATGTTCTTTATGGAAAAAAGAAAAATACATAAATTCCTGACAATCATTTATATCATAACACAATAAATTAATAAAATTAATGCAAATTTAGTCTCACACTATAACTTTACTATGGAACGTACGAGTAATTATGTTGTAACGTAATACATGAATTCTGAATGCATGAACCACTGGCGAAGACGAGCATATTTTCAGCAATGTATACTACGCCAATATATGTTCCTTGTTATATACTTGAAATTCCATAATGAAATAATTATATTTTCTTATGTGTATTTTATTTATTTTTAACATAAGAAATGTGATATCACAAATCGTTACAAAATCGCATTGATCTTTAAATCATTGTGCTTAATATTACAACCATAATATTCTATCCAATTAAACAATAGACAAATTGATATTATACAATTTGTAATTTAATAATAAAACAAAATATTAAAAGATTTAAGTTATCTGTAAGACAAAATAAATTAGAAATAATGTACAAAAGGTGCGTTAACAATGTTCAAGATAAATGAAAAATTGAATTATGCATGGCCGTATAATGCCGTATGGTCGTATGGATATCATATTACAAATTAATGATTTTTCTAAGTTATAAGGTGTAAGAGATTTTATATTTTTATCTGAAGTAAGGTCATAAACCCCACTTCCACTACCTTGTCTATTCTTATATATACATATATACGACCTTATCCTTACATTACTTGTAGTATAATATTCATTAATGAAAATTATACAGATTGCATATATATATTCTAATAAAAGTATTATATTTAATATAAAATAGGTTTTGAAATTGTTTTTTAATATCATAAACATATTATTCATCAAATATTGTGCTTTTAGAGTATTTCATAAAATGTTATACCAGCCACCGAGCCCTCAAAGAAAAAAAGAAGTTTTACCTAAAGAAACCACAAAACTAAGACGGCCTACTTTTCTAAAACGAAGCAGTGAACCGCTTCTCAATGTCAAAAATGCCAATACACAAGTATGATGATGATTTATTGTTTGATTTTAGTTAGTTATAGGCACCTACCTATTAAAATATGAMAAATAATAGATTATGCTAAATCTCAGTTTTATGACAATACTCAATTATGTTTAAACGTCAATTGAGGAAAATAGATTTGATTCCATAAAAAATTATCAATGAGATATTGAGTTTTATTTTTTATTTTAACATAATACGTATTATTTAGACTCAATCCAATCAACATCAAACAGTCGTAGTTGATGAATTCGAACCAGACGTATTCCGCCAACTCATTGAATACATACATACTGGTTGTGTAACTTTGCAACCCAGAACTTTATTGGGTGAGTGAAGTCAAATACGCATAATAATAACCTATATCCTCAGGTATTTTTTGAACACATTTAAGCGCTTATTATATATTTAATTACACCCATTTAAATTTTAAAAATACATTATTTTATATTTAACACGAGCGCTTTAATTTATACTGATGCACAAACTTTCACTGTTATACCATATATGATATAATAGGTCATAAGTGTATTTTAAAAACAGTTTCTAAAATAAATTGAATTTTTGATAATATCTTGTATGTTTAGGAGTACTAAATGCAGCAGATTATTATGGCCTGGAAGATCTACGGAAGGCATGCACAGGTTTCGTCCAGTGCTGTATAAATGTGGACACGGTCTGTGCCTTACTGTCATCAGCAGAGCGGTATATTCAATACAAATGTACTAAAAGTCTTGTTCAGAAGGTAATTTATTATATTTCTCTTGTAAAATATGGTTCACTTCATTTGAAAAACACGATTTTCAACGCAAACGTTAAATAGGTTTTGGAGTTTGTTGACGAACATGGAAACGAAGTGTTAAACCTCGGATCATTCGCTCTATTACCACTACACGTGGTCCGGTTGATATTAAGCAGAGATGAACTGAAAGCAGACGAATTCACTAAATTCCAGGTACCTTATGTAGACATGCAACTTATATCATATAAACATGAGTACAGTGGAACATCGATAAATCGAATCGGTTGGGGAAATGGGGACGAAAATAAAATTCGAGTTATAGAAAATTCGACTTCCGGAAGTTTACGCACATTATGTATTGTAACGCAGGAGCCTTCCTTCGAGTTATCGAAAATCCGACTTATAAATAGAAGTTCCACTGTATTTTTCATTCGAGATTATCATTAACCCCAAATAAATTGTGTTATTAAGGCTGCACTTATGTGGACAATGAAATACGGGGATACAAATTCAAATGTTGACTGGAAAGAAGTTTTTGTGGAAAATTTCATGTCGTCCATTCAATACCACAAAATACCGGCTAATGTATTGATGAACGAAGTGGAACCTTTAAAACTGGTTCCATACGAAGTGATCATGACATCATTAGCGTATCAGGTGCGCAACAAATTTCAATAAAATATGATTATTGGAGTACCTAATCAAGTTCTATTGGTTTGTGAATAAGTGCTCATGATGTTATTGTTCTAGGCAGACCCCTCCTGTGTCGATCCCGACAAATTGAAGAGGGCCTTGAGAATGGGTAACTATCATGGACTGATGGGCATCAGTAGTACAATTGGCACCGTAACGGCTGAAAGAACCATGTCGGTGCAGAGTTCGGGCACACATCATGGTTCCAGCTCGACTATTAGCTCCATTGGATCTAGCGATCTAGTTGGTTCTGACAAAACTTGATCCGAGAGAACTCCAAGTTCATAGGCGTGCGCATTAGCCTTAACCTTGGTTTTATTTAAACAAAAACTTCCATTTAGTTATTAATTGAATATTGCGTCTAATTAATTACCTATAAATTATAATTATTAAATTCTTATTGACATTAAACAATCAGATTTATTCTAATAAAAAGACTGTGATGGTTACTAAAATGAATTTTACTTGAAAACAACAATATCATAATATTATATATATAAAATTATTACTATTAAATTAAAAACAAAATTATTATTAAGGACCAATTATAATCTAAAGTTACCTTTAACAATTATGTGAGCATAATACTCGTATATACTAAATATACATTTCAAATCCTTTCCGCGCACGCCTATGCTCAAAAATAAAAGCATTTCAACAAAAATGAATTAACTTGAGATCCATATAAAGTTATATTTAAATGGACGCTAATCTAATTATAAAAATTCAAATAATCACCATAACCAATGAGATGTTTAACTATTTGAATTATTTAATATACATGATACACATTGTACCTACTAGGTATTTATTAGGTATCTTTAAATTATTATAATATTTTTATTCAAATTCAATTTTTTTCTGTTCCTAAATTTTCAACACTTTAATATATTGTTCATGCACAGTTTGTCAATTTACAATAAGATAATTTAGTTTATTTACTATAACTTAAGACTAATATTTCCTGATAGGTATTTACTGCAGGTAAATAATAATATAAAAAATATCCAATATTTCGTTGCAATTTCAGATACTAGATAATCAAATTTGTTAATTCTATTTAATTCGKTTTATAGCTTATGTGATTTATTAAATAAATATATATTATAGAAGAATTTTCCAAAATTGTCCACACGAATTTTAAGACTATTAAAACTTGACGTATAATATTTAAATTTATACTACAGGTTTATTCTTTTAACAGAAAAGTTACTCATTACCTCTAAAAGTATTAATATTGCAAAAATATTTTTTTTTTTACATAATTTTATATAATTACTAAACAAAATGTTTAGTAAACAATTATATTGTCACGATTGAAAAAAAGTTTTCTACTGTTTTGACTGATGTGGAAAGGCACCTAAACATTTTTCCCAAGTAAAATACTGTTCTTTAAAATTTAATTTTTATAATTTTGCTATCCTCAAAACAATATTTTTGTGTAATCGGAAATTAAAAGTGTTCGCTGTCTTTCAAAAAAATAAAACATAAAAAAATTATTATAAAAAAGGTCTGTTTTTCGGACATTTTGTAATGTTTTGACTTTATATTATGTAAAAAAAGTTTTCAAAAGCATCCATACTTTTAAAGATAATGAGTGTTTACTGTTACAAGAATTACCATCCCTTATTATTACAGGTACTCAAATTTATATAATTTCTTAGTAGAATGTAATGAATACAAAAGTTAGTTTTAATTTCATTGGTGTGGTTATACTAGTTATATGTTGGTATTACGAATTTTACATTTACAAAATTATAACTTGAAATATTTATTTTATATTACACGATTTTGCCAAAATTGTATATGTAAAATATATATAATATTTATATTTAATCAAATCTAACAAATAATTTAGGGATTATATATGTGTTGCCTAACCTTTATTTAAATTATTGATGTGTCATTTATTGATGGTAATATTTAATTTGTTTAATAATAATATTGAAATTTAAATATGAATGTTATTATGTATACTTTGTATAGAAATTATAGTCTCACTATTTAAAATCTAATTATTTTAAACTATATTGATATAATAAACGTAATAATAATATACATTAGAGTATAGTTTCTTTAATACAGTTAAGCAATACATTTATATATCTAATAATGGCTGCATCCGAATTGCGTGCGGAAAAAAAGAACTATGTTTGACAACAACCGAATTGCGTGCGCGGTTTTTTCGAGACACAGCCGAATTGCGTGCGTGGTTTCTTCATGACAGAGCTGAATTGCGTGCGCATATTTTATTTAAAGACAACCGGTATCGTAATATCTGTATCTGATATGATARCTATACTCGTATATGGGTATTATCATATGGTATTATGTACTATGCAGGGAATGGGATTTTTCGGCAATAAGATATAAGCTGATAATTTGATAAATAATATTAAACGATCTATATTCTATATGCATCAATTTCAAAATAAAATGTTAACTCGTTTGGAATTTATTGAAATTTTTTGCTACTCATATAAAATATTTMAATATAATCGTTTTTACGAGATACCTAATAATTTTATTGTATTATCACTTGAATTAATATTGTTTTAATAATTTGTATTCGAAGAATAAATGTATTCTTTAATTATTTAGTGTAAATAAATCTGGCACACCGTGCGATCAACACTGTATCTCGCACGCAACTCGGCTCTGTCACAGAAAAACCGCGCACGMAACTCAACCCTGTTATGAAAAAACCACGCACGCAATTCGACCCAGAAAACGATTTTCGCACGCAACTCGGAACCGCCGCTAATAATATATATTTACCTATTACTTAATACAATATTTTTATTTGATTTAAACAATTTATTGAAACAACAAAAACTTATTAACCAAATTAACATTTTTACAGGTACTTAATAATAAAGAATTATACTATTATAAAAAATTCATATTTATATGATTGTACATTTGATTATCCTGAGTATAAAATACAATGCATAAGTAATAAAATAATCTTAAAAAGTTAAAAGTTTTATACTTAATTGTTTATGAGATATTGTACATCTGTATTATAAATACTTTATTTGTAACAACTACTTAATACCTAAGAGTTAAGATCAAGTATGTATTCCTATACCTTTGAAAACTATACATAGTGACTGTATATAGTGTATACTGTATAAGTATAAACAATAGCTACCTTTAAAATTGATTCGTTGTTTGATTGAGTATTTGAGTAGATCTACTTTATTATTTTACTGCTTATTTGTCGACAATACTCTACCCACGCTAATTCCACGGATTAAAATATATCTTAATCCGTGAGACCGTGACTCTACCATTTTATCTTTTAAGGAGAAAAGAACCATGAAAAAAAATTAAATTAAGAAAAAACGGTAATTTTTACGTAAAATCGGTTTTTGACAAAATCAATTTTGAATTTTAGTGTTCCTTTAAAACAAATTACCGTAGACCTATCACATATGAAACTTTCTATGAGTATGTATATTAGAATTTGCTATACATTCGTACCATATATAATTTTGACTTATTTTCAGCCGTTTATGGACACTTTCAGTTACCGATATATTGCTACAGTGGTAGATGAAAAATATTAAACATTCATTATCACACATTTTTTTATAAGCATTTAAAGTTCGAATTTTGACAATACGTAAAAAATTACGAAAATTTCCAATTATTACGCGTTAGAAATTCATAAAAAATTATCCATTTAAATTTTAAAACTCTATACAAGATTCAAGATTGTTCGTAAGTTTTTCTACCTTTATCAAATAATAAATGTCTACTGGAAAGTCAAATTTTTACAACAATTGTATTACCTATATATTCACTCGATTTTTCTTGTAATGCTGATATACTTATTTTGTTATTATTCAAAAACGAAGAACTGTAGGAACATGTTTACGACATATGTTTGTTTTATCAATACTTATACCTGAATATTATCAAAACATTTTGATTTTTTTAAATTTTACATATACCCTCGGCAACCAGGGCCTGATTTAATAAAATTAGGGCCAAGTGCACAATCCCCCCCAATGTTGATGATAAAAAAAATTTAATTATATGTTAAAATGTTTAAATATATATCTCAAAACTCATTAAATATTTGTACATTATTCATGTACATAAGTTATGTACATGAAGCGTCACCAACAACGGTTTATCTATAAATACTGTACTCGAAGAAATCTATAAATAGTTATTAGGTATCAAATATTTCCGATGTTCAAATAATTTTCTATTATTATTTTAATATTTTGTGATGGTTACTGATGAGCATTGGGTGTGGAACATAGTGTTATTATAAGAGTCTTATAAAATTATAAGTCTATGGTGTGGAATGATAAAAATAACCAAAATTCGACTGACAATTTAATGATAAAAATATACTGAACTTTGAATTTGGCAGTTGGCAGTTGGTATTACATTTTACAAAATACATTTTTATGGATGAATTAATTTAAAAATAATAATTTTCTACAACTTACGAAGACTAGGGGCCCCCAGAGATTGGGGGTCAAGTGCAAGCGCTCCATCTGCATTTGCGTGAACCAGGTCCTGTCGGCAACATAGGCCATTGGGCTTATAGCGAAATAATTAATTACATATTAATTCTGTCGATACTAAATCTATAAGTGTTAATTATATTCTTGTTTAGAGGTTGGCGGCTGTAATGAACTGATGAACTGAATGATATTTGTTATGAATTAAAGGTGATTGTTTAGTATTTCTGATTGTGATTCGGGAAGTCTGTGTCTTATATTTTGATTTGTTTTGGTCTGTTTACGGACATTTCCAATTTTGAACTTTTTTTTCTCTAAATGTAAAAACAATTTTAACAAGTGCAGTTAAAAAGTGTGAACATTTAATACAAGACTTTTGATATATATTTTTATACAATATCAGTTGATAAATATTAAAAATACATAGATATATTTTTTTATATAAGCATTTAAAATTCGAATTTTGACAAAGTTAATCAAATTTAAAATGTATAAACGATCGCTTAGTTAAAAAATTAACAATTTAAAATTATAAAATATTCAATTATATAACTAAGGATAGAAACTTTGAAATAAAAATGTCCATAAATAGTTCATATTGTATAACTAAAAAATACAATAATTATATAAATACAGTTATTTTGTACAGATAATTTAAATTCAAATTTGGACGAAATTACACATAAACATAACAATTTATTTCATAACTATAAATATACCTACATCAGCCTTCAAGATTATTTCCTCCGTCAAATAGTTTTGTGGTCAGAATTTCGCAATTTTATTTTAATTATTATTCTGCATTATCATTAGGTACCTATTTAATTTTTGTAATTAGCAATACACAGCTATGAAGTACTGTTTGATTCGTATCGTACTGCGTGAATGTTTTCTCTGATTAAATTGCATTTTAATTAATAACTAACAGCAAGGTATGAGTCTTTCAGTACTTCCTTGCTGCAGTGACACGCTGGCATGGATAGTAGCTAAGTATATATTATAATAAACATAGGTACAGGGTGATACATCAAGCATGTTCGCCTCAATTTTATTGTTTGATCATGTATCTATCTAAATTTTGATTTTTTTTTTTTTACATTTTGAAGTATACTCTACTTTAAAACCTTGAAATTTTTAAATATTTTTATTTTAGTGGTAACAAGGAATAAGAAGTGATCCTAATAACTATATAACTATTTATATTGACTATTTCCCTTTTTCGTTGTAGTTGTTTTATTTTTTTTAAATGTTTATAATATAATAATATCTATTTAAATACAAATTTTATATTTCCACMGATTGTTTCCAGAATTATCAAACATAATGAACTAAAGATAAAATTAATCAATGGTATATTGGTATTAAAATGTCCATAAAAAATGACTAGAATAGTATGGTAGGTGATTGTAGAATAAGTGCAAAAATCGTAACTTGAATAATAAATATAGATATATAAGATATAATTAAAACATAAAATGGCGAATGCTTGGTGAACCACCCTGTAAACATAAATCATAATATATATGTAATATATATATAATATATATAATATGTAGTATGCGGAAATTGTAGAACCTTGTCTATACATCACCGAGAACTTTTTTTATCTTTTATAATTGTCGACACTTTTCTTATTCCGAAGACTGACAGCAGCAGCTATAACCATTTCTTATAAAGCCTTAATCTTTATTTAAGTTTGTGTTAAGAGAAGGTAAGGTTCGTATCATTAGTGTCGTTAATTTGAGTATTATATAGTCATAATAAATAAATTATAATCTATAGTAGTCTTATTATTGTGTATAATTTGATGGTTAATTATTTTAACTGTTGTTACTCTGATATTCTGATGTTATAATTAAATGTATTAATACAATACATTATCGGAGACTGTTAGCCGGTTACGTGTTAACTGCGGTCTTGTATGTGAAATATATTATATGTTATATTGATTGA